GTGAGATGGATTTTCACCAGTTGGTGAAGCAAACAAGTCACAGCAATTTATGATAATTTTCGTATCGGTCGCTTTCAACCTATTGTTGTCCCGCGACAACTGTTAGAGATCGGGCGTGACTCTGCGCCAAACCATAATGCTGGCACGCCCCCTCATCCTCAGCGAAAAAGACTGTAAGTTTATGGCGTTTTTCAAATTAAAATCGCTTTGTACGAATCGAGTAGCCATCTAGCAAGTACACGTGACTGTTCCAAAAGCAGAGAGTAGAGTTCCTGACTCACTCAGAAAAGTTCCGAAGGTCGGGCAACTGTCTTATTTACTGCGGACGCTGGGTCACGACAGGGTTCTGGGTTTAGCGCGGCGTCAGCTCGGTTTCCACATATTGTGGTCGTTTGCAGCTTCCCAGTCGATGGGGAACGGGTTGGCGCTGCGGCAAGCATGCCCACTGACACGCCCCTGCATCTGCGGTGAACAAGAACAACACTGTATGTATGTACACTTTATCTCGCGCCCATTTCTACTTGGCCGCATGTATCCTCCACCTACACCTCCATAGAATGACTGCTGTACTATATGTCAGAAACACTTTCTTCAACAAACGAAAACTGCGCCATGTCGTCGCGCTGATGAGCGGCAACCGCGGAATGACACACTCTGGGGTCTCCGATCACTTGTTTCGACTTCACTTTTGAGCATCTTGGTGCTAATCTGCACAAGAGGAAAGCCAAAGTGATAGTTAAGAACGGTGTTCTTGCTCGAATTCTTTGAAAATGAAGAACTCAAAGAAACCCATGAAAAGGGCTTCCTCACGTAGAATAAGACCATTTCAGCGTGAATTACGAATATTAAAGGAACTGCGAAAAAATAATTGCCCATTCTCTCCCATAGCTCTCGACAGCGGACGAGTTGCTGACCTGCCTTTCATAGGTGAGATTGATTCTATGTTCTGTTCCTACCAAGTTTCGACAATAAATTGACGTTCAGTGATGAATCTTCTGGATAGAAATCTGGAAAAGTTGCGAGAGCAGACAGTCACTTTCAGACCAGCTACCGCTTTCTACATTGCAAATGAAGCAATGGCGGCAATCGGTGTAAGATTTTGGCAGAACTTTTTGTGTGGGAGATCACGAGCAGACTCGCCCATTTTGACCACACACCCTGACTATCTCTACTTGTCAAAGGCAAGTTCGACCGCGAAAAACAAGGAATCTGGGAGACTCCTCGTCCATCAAAATGACGTGAGACCTATAAACAGGACCATCTAGCTCCTAGTGATTACAGCATTAATTATCAGTTCGAGGCATAAAATTCTGCACGAGAAATTCAATTAATTCAGAAACTTAGCATGAAATTTCTAAATAGAGGCAGTTGTCGAAGATGCTAATTTTCGCCGACTTCACTTCCAACTTCAACGACTAAAAAATTCACAAAAACTATATCCTCAACCAAAGCTTTTTTTGATATTCTTATACTACGAGAAGTTTCCTATCAGATGATATATAACTTGCTTGCAAAACGTTTCACTTCGAACAAATTTTTCAATTGAAAAAAACCGCCATTACTTATTAGCCAACCCTAATATTCTTATACCAGTGTCGAAGAGAACCCTGCGCTCACCCCGAGAACGCCTATCGCACGCGCGAGGCATGGGCGGCCCGCAGGGGACAGCATTCTTTTCCGGGGTGAAGGGTCAACACAGGGGTATCGTCTCCTGACTGCACCCGCGCTATCTGCAAGGTGCAGCAATTGCGTCGATACCAAAATCCTGCATCCAGTCAGGGGTGAAAAACAACCAGAAGTGAGAAGGTGCAGACAAGCAGCGCGCTGGCTACGGTTAGGCGTGTGTAGACCGTGTGGTGGCGCTAGCGGAGTCAGGAATAGGGCCCATCGTTGTTGGGAATCCCCAGCAAGGGGGTCGTATTTGGGGGTCGTATTTGGGCTGAGAAAAATTTATTTTGATAGTTGATTTTTCTCGCTTCACGGACGTTGTAAAAGGGGGGGGGGGTCGTACTTGCTCATTGTTGGGAGGGGGGGTCGTATATACTTTCTGGCCTTTCTAGGAGTGGCGGAAGACTTGTCGTGTTTTCCTATTTCATGCGTACCATATGTCACCTCCCCTCCCCCTTCCCCCCTCGACGGCTCGATGAGGAGGGACAGAGGGCCGGAGGGGGGGGTCGTACCAACCCCCAAAAAAGGGGGGTCGTACGGACTTGACTAAAATCCCCAACTAATGATGTGCCCTGGTCAGGAAAGTCCACTCGAGCATCACTATCCTCCAGCCCACTTCCCGCGGACTTCTGAGCGGAGAAGGTGGCGTACTACTGCAGCTGCAAGCCCGTGCACCTAGCCCATGGCAAGGACCTGAATTTCTGGATGTGAGTGTACAGTATGCCTGGAGAACCTTTTTGTACTTGACAGATCTGGATCCTATTGCCTCATGAATATACACTGAACCACTCACTGTGCTGTCCGCGCTGAATGGAATCACTTCTAAGTTACATTGAAGGTAAGAAAGACTTGCGCGTCCTGCACGGGACTCACAAGTGCCGCACTCAAGTGCATAGTAGCGGGACTACATGACATTGCATATGTACCTAGGAATGTACTGGAGCTGGTACTGGTTTTCGCGCACCTACTGTGGGCGGCTGTAAGGATGTCGGGCGTTGTAACATGGCCCCTTGCTAGCGTCTCTGCGTCTGTATTCTCGTCCGATACTGAGAAGTTTCTGCTTTTCCTTTGTTGCCGCCTCGACAGTTCCTGTGGACGTTGCGCTGGCCAATGTTGTAAAATACTTGACGAGATTAGTAATCAAATTCATCGTTACTGTCATCATTTCAGTTCTTGCATTCTCTTAAATACATTCATCGGGATGTGAAACTCACGAATTTTTGTCTTGGTACAGGACCAGCCATCGGCAGAATATTCTTAATTGATTATGGTGACACAGTAAAGGCAGGCAAAAAAATTAAGTGAGCTATAGATCGTAAGCAATTGATGAACATCCCAGAATGTGCCTAATAAAAAGCGAAACCTAGGTATGGTACGCCGGATATTTACACTCTTCCGTATTGGAGTTTGGATGCTCATAAGCGAGCGGCAGCTCGCGAAAGGGGTGACGCGGAGTCATGGTTTTACATGACGGCAGAGTTGTAAGTGCATTTTAAACGTGGACATTCGGATGGCAGAGACTTATTGAGCCGGCCGATTGTCTTCAGTGTCCCCTGATTTCATGGATAGTAGAGACGTGGTCATTTCTTTCCTCATGTGTTAGTCTTCAGAGTGAGCCCAGGATGCCTGCCCTGGATCAAGATGAGCTCAGAGAAAGACGTGGAGAGCGCAAAGCAATCTCTTTGGGATGATGGTGAGGATCTGTGCTGAACACAGGCCTCCAGCTGATATCGTTGCAATCAGTCGAGGCTTTTTTGAAGGCAGTTCTCGCGATCAAGTGATTCGCAAAATGCCTCCGTGCATTTGGCATCGTTGTCTGTGCGCAGAGAATGAACCGCTTTCATCATTCGAAACGGTGAGATAAGGAACTTAGAAACGCGGGAGCAATGCAATAAGTTCGACCAAGATTACTTTAACTCTGCAAGACAGCGGCTTACAAGTGGAATTGTGTGTGCACATCCGTTGCCTATAGCGTCGTACGGCGATTTCCTATACTTGACGGGAAATGGTGCACGTGGAATCCTGCTATATGGGCTTTTCCGACGTCCGCCAAACCCTCTGAGGCGCGGGCTCATTTACCCCTCCTGACACGCTCTGACTGACTGCGACGATATCTATTTTCTATGTGCCTTTGAGAGAAGTTTG